GGGGGAGGGGGGGCGTACCTATGGAAACTGTCGCTGTGGTTACCTGAGTGAAACCCTGGTGCCCTTATGAGTCTATCGCCAAACAGGGGCTTGGGCCGAGAGCTGACATTTTTCCACGGTTTGTCCCAATAACAAATGACGATAACAAATATGTTTCTTCAGTGCCACAATTATAAAATAGTGTAAGTTATTAACCCTCTACAGCCAAAATGTACTGGTTTCACAAAGAACATAGTAAAAATATTCCAATTCTCTAGAAACAATACAACAATAATGTACAATAATGAATGCAAAATTTTTTTTTTCTTTTCATCAATTATTAATAATTGTAAATAATTAGTAATTACTAAGAAAGTGAAAGGACATAGTGGACAGTTTTGCTCAGAGATTTATTTATTTTTTCCGGAATTTGCGATAAATGTATGGTTTTCACGTCATGGGGGAATTCTGCAGATCACAAACTTTATCTTGTTGTCATATTTGTCATATATGGCTTTCCTAATTATTTGTTTGTACTGTTTTTGTGAAAGGTAATTTACAGTATGTGCTGGTTTTCTGGTGGCAGCAAGTCCAATGTAGTCCCAATGAATAAAACTAAATGAAATATAATCATTCATATGCCTTGATGCAAATGTTACATTAACACATTTCTTCCAATTCTATCATATGTAGAAATAGGGATTAGAGATAGAGTATGTCAGCAGATTAGACTATATCTAAGAGCAAACAAATAAATGAACCTTCCCAATGCATATATCCAAAAAGAAAGTGTATTTGTATAGTGTTGTCTGCTCTCATTGTAAATACTCAAGTTTTTAAAGTAGTACGAGAATTTAATATGCTGCTATCCAGAATATATAACTACAATGTGTGTTTATAATATTTCGGGTGTTCATTTTGACATGTTCAGATGAATTATGTTAAAAAAACGGCTTTTTCACGGCTTTTTCACTTCCGCATAGAAACGCTAGGGGGAGCCAAAATGGCGGCGATGACGTAGGAGAAGGACCTCTCACAGCAGCAGACAGCAGTCTTAGCTGGAAACTGTAGGAGGTTTCACTGTCATCTGAACAAAGTATAAACATATTTTCATCAGTTTTGTACATAATAGTGTGCAACTCTTTTAACCTTTTAGCCTTATTTGTGAGATTCAAGCAAACTAGTGTTGGGCAAGTTAGCATGTTTTATGATATCAAGTAGAGTTAGCTAACAAGGCTAATATTCGTTTTTACATTATGCCAGTCTCACTTTGGTTGCCTTAGATTTATTTACCACAATGTACATTGTAATATCCATAAATGCTAACACCTATTAATGGTTTAATTAGCATTTTTATCAATGATTGCATCACATGTAGTCTATGTTTTTCAACTTCTGCAGCTTTTTGTTCATAAAAGTAAAATATTTATTTAATTCAAGTTATTTTGATTAGCATTTATGGATATTACAATGTACATTGTGGTAAATAAATCTAAGGCAACCAAAGTGAGACTGGCATAATGTAAAAACGAATATTAGCCTTGTTAGCATGTTTTATGATATCAAGTAGAGTTAGCTAACTTGCCTGTTATGTTTGGGCACCTTTTTCCCCCTTGGTTTTATGTCTTATCTTTTTTTGTCCAGGTATTTTTTGGGTTTTATAGTTATTTTTGTAAGATTGTGTTTTGTATAAGTATATTTTATAGGTTGCATTTTTGATAACGTTTTTGTAACTTATTTTGTATATTTTGCAGCTCGGGTCGGGAGTATAAGAAGCGCTGTCCTGTGCGCTCCCGCCCTCTCTCTGCTCTCAGCCTTTTGCAAATACCTGCTGAGGTGAGCGTGCTCGTGCTGCGCGCTCCCTCCTAGTCCTGGCATGCGGCCTCCCCAGACGCCGCATGGTTTGGTTGTTGCTTTAGCCATTTGGTTAGCATTTTTTCCTTGTCCTTATTTTTGTTTGATCTGGTGGGTCCGGTGGTTACAGTTTCGTTGGAGGGTGTAGCTAGTTGGGTTTTGTTTATTCTTTAGTTAGGGTGCCGGCATCGGATCCGGACGGCCCTGTATAGGGTTGGTTCGGTGTCGGCCCATTTTTGTTTGTTTTGGCTGGCCCACCAGGTCCACCTTTAATTTGATTACTTTGGGTTTTTGTATTCTGGACACGGGGTTGGTTTAATTTAATATTCATATTAATAACAACAAACTAGAGTTCAGTTAAAAGAACATGTATAAATAAAATCATTATTTTTTTAACTCTAAACCTGTCTCTGTGTCCTTAAAAATATGTTTTGTCCTTCGGGTCGTAACACTAGTTTGCTTGAATCTCACAAATAAGGCTAAAAGGTTAAAAGAGTTGCACACTATTATGTACAAAACTGATGAAAATATGTTTATACCTTGTTCAGATGACAGTGAAACCTCCTACAGTTTCAGCCCAGACTGCTGTCTGCTGCTGTGTGAGATCTCCTTCTTCTCCTACGTCATCGCCGCCATTTTGGCTCCCCTAGCGTTTGTGAAAAGGTCCGACTTCAAAGCTGTTTTTTTAACATAATTCATCTGAACATGTCAAAATGAACACCCGAAATATTATAAACACATATTGTAGTTATATATTCTGGATAGCAGCATATTACATTCTAGTATATTTAAGAGCAAACAAATAAATGAACCTTCCCAATGCATATATCCAAAAAGAAAGTGTATTTGTATAGTGTTGTCTGCTCTCATTGTAAATACTCAAGTTTTTAAAGTAGTACGAGAATTTAATATGCTGCTATCCAGAATATATAACTACAATGTGTGTTTATAATATTTCGGGTGTTCATTTTGACATGTTCAGATGAATTATGTTAAAAAAACGGCTTTTTTCACGGCTTTTTCACTTCCGCATAGAAACGCTAGGGGGAGCCAAAATGGCGGCGATGACGTAGGAGAAGGACCTCTCACAGCAGCAGACAGCAGTCTTAGCTGGAAACTGTAGGAGGTTTCACTGTCATCTGAACAAAGTATAAACATATTTTCATCAGTTTTGTACATAATAGTGTGCAACTCTTTTAACCTTTTAGCCTTATTTGTGAGATTCAAGCAAACTAGTGTTGGGCAAGTTAGCATGTTTTATGATATCAAGTAGAGTTAGCTAACAAGGCTAATATTCGTTTTTACATTATGCCAGTCTCACTTTGGTTGCCTTAGATTTATTTACCACAATGTACATTGTAATATCCATAAATGCTAACACCTATTAATGGTTTAATTAGCATTTTTATCAATGATTGCATCACATGTAGTCTATGTTTTCAACTTCTGCAGCTTTTTGTTCATAAAAGTAAAATATTTATTTAATTCAAGTTATTTTGATTAGCATTTATGGATATTACAATGTACATTGTGGTAAATAAATCTAAGGCAACCAAAGTGAGACTGGATAATGTAAAAACGAATATTAGCCTTGTTAGCATGTTTTATGATATCAAGTAGAGTTAGCTAACTTGCCTGTTATGTTTGGGCACCTTTTTCCCCCCGTTGGTTTTATGTCTTATCTTTTTTTGTCCAGGTATTTTTGGGTTTTATAGTTCTTTTTGTAAGATTGTGTTTTGTATAAGTATATTTTATAGGTTGCATTTTTGATAACGTTTTTGTAACTTATTTTGTATATTTTGCAGCTCGGGTCGGGAGTATAAGAAGCGCTGTCCTGGTGCGCTCCCGCCCTCTCTCTGCTCTCAGCCTTTTGCAAATACCTGCTGAGGTGAGCGTGCTCGTGCTGCGCGCTCCCTCCTAGTCCTGGCATGCGGCCTCCCCAGACGCCGCATGGTTTGGTTGTTGCTTTAGCCATTTGGTTAGCATTTTTTCCTTGTCCTTATTTTTGTTTGATCTGGTGGGTCCGGTGGTTACAGTTTCGTTGGAGGGTGTAGCTAGTTGGGTTTTGTTTATTCTTTAGTTAGGGTGCCGGCATCGGATCCGGACGGCCCTGTATAGGGTTGGTTCGGTGTCGGCCCATTTTTGTTTGTTTTGGCTGGCCCACCAGGTCCACCTTTAATTTGATTACTTTGGGTTTTTGTATTCTGGACACGGGGTTGGTTTAATTTAATATTCATATTAATAACAACAAACTAGAGTTCAGTTAAAAGAACATGTATAAATAAAATCATTATTTTTTTAACTCTAAACCTGTCTCTGTGTCCTTAAAAATATGTTTTGTCCTTCGGGTCGTAACACTAGTTTGCTTGAATCTCACAAATAAGGCTAAAAGGTTAAAAGAGTTGCACACTATTATGTACAAAACTGATGAAAATATGTTTATACCTTGTTCAGATGACAGTGAAACCTCCTACAGTTTCAGCCCAGACTGCTGTCTGCTGCTGCTGTGAGATCTCCTTCTTCTCCTACGTCATCGCCGCCATTTTGGCTCCCCCTAGCGTTTGTGAAAAGGTCCGACTTCAAAGCTGTTTTTTTAACATAATTCATCTGAACATGTCAAAATGAACACCCGAAATATTATAAACACATATTGTAGTTATATATTCTGGATAGCAGCATATTACATTCTAGTACTACTTTAATGTATTTTTTGCATCCCTAAAATACTCAAGCCACCAAAAATACCAATACCTTATACTGTACCAACACACACGCAACAACGACAACTCATGGAAACAAAACACATCATAGTTTTTCTGACTTTCATAAAGGAATTGTCTCAAATATTCTATTCTATTCATAGGCCAGATAGGATCAATTAAAATCATTTAAAAAACTAAATTTCGGCTCAGTTCACAGCAAAATGAAGCAACATTTAGTAATAAAAGTGACGTATTTGAGTCCCTGCTGCTCAAATGTGATCAAATTACAGATACAATTACTACAACACACTCAAAATGGCAAAGAAAACATAGAAAATATATCTAAGCAACCTTCACGGATATAGTTATTGTGTGGAGGCCTATTTATTTATCCACTTATTATAATAATGAAAGTGTGTGCGCGCTCAGACTGTTACCTTTCCTGCGCCACACGTAGAATCCCACATGTCCAAAGTCCAAAAGGGCGAGAGAATGGAATCTACCAAAGAACCCAATCAATATCACTCCACTCTCCCTCGCCTCCCCGTCTGTCCCGGTACGACCGCGGCAATCACACTATCACGTCGGGATATCTCTCTCCGTGCACGCATTCGTACACGCGCTTCCAAACACCGGCGCAGGTACAAAAGCCCGGTCCAGGTGCACTTGAGGAGCTGCACCTGTGAACTCACCTGCCAAACCAGATCCAGGCCGAGGATCCTCCCCCAAAAGCACAACAGGGGGTGACGTATGCGGGCGCGCGGGCTCACAGACCTGCACAGGACTGTAATCGGATACGACTGGCTTCTCAGAGAGAGTGTGAAACAAGAGAATGCAAAAAATACCAAAACAAAAAATATAAAATGATGCCAAGTTTTGAGAAGCAAAGCCTTAGAGCTGGTGGAAGGAAGGTGTGTTGTGTGTTTGTGAATTAAGATTGAGATTAAGATATGCATTATTTGTTGAATAACTGAATAACTTGAATAACGAATAACTCGTTCCACAGTGGGGAAATGTCAGTGTTGCATTGCAAGTTACATAACAGTGGGAATGAGGAGCACACAGCACAGGGTCAATTAATAATGGCTACATACTAAAATAGAATAAAAATCTAATAAAATCCAAAATGAAATATCTAACTCTGGCATAAAACTGAAGCTGTACTAATTATTAACTTTCAAACCATAAAAACAAATTGACTCTGTAATAAAATTAGCCGCTCAAAACAGTTTGGTTCGAACACTAATTTTCAAGTGTGAGTTTTTTGGCTTCTGTCACATCTTTAGGTCAGCTTTTTCAGACAGAAAAGTGAAAAAGATAAGATAAGATAAGATAAACCTTTATTAGTCTCACAGTGGAGAAATTTCAGCTTACTTTATTTCTGTAATTTCTCTTACAGCAGAGAAAGGAAATAAGAGCACTCAGATTGCACACATCAAATAGTCTATTATTTAAGGTAATAGACAATAAAATTAAGATAAAATAAAATAAAATAAGATAAACTCTGGGTTATAATTGCACTTGGTTCAGAGTATTTACAAATGTCTATATTATACATTATCAGCGGAGAATATGAGAATGTGAGCAGAATAAACATCAGAAATAATATCAACAGGTAAAGTGACTTGAATGGGAGAATTATCAGATGGATATGAATAATACAGTAATAATACAGTAAGATATCAACAGGTAAAGTGACTGGTGAAAGGCAGAATTATCAGATATGTAATAATGCAGCAGTATGATAACAGGTAAAGTGACTAGTGACAAAGTTACTAGTGAATTATCAGTGACACTTGTGCAAAAAGAGAGGACCACCCTCACTCAGCCAATCAGATCTCAGCCCAAAGCATTGAATAATAACTCACAAGGCTTTTTCTTTTGTCAAGGCAGAATGTTTGTTCACAGAGTATTAATTTTGTAAAACTATTTCTGTTAGGACAAACTTATTATCTATGAAACAAAGGTGGAACAACGTATTGAAAAACAAGTTTGTACAGCTCTCAAAACGCTTTGGTCCATCACTAATTCCCACATGTGCGGCCTCTATCACAGCTTAAGCACACCCTCGCTCAGCCAATCAGCTCCCAGTGCCATACAGTGGCTCAAAGGGCCGTATATAATAAAATATGTATATGAAGTTGATAATAATAATAATACATCAGTTTTATAAAGCGCTTTTCAGGACACTCAAAGACACTATGTCATTATTCACTCACTCCATACGGTGGTGATAAAACTCCTACTGTAGCCACAGCTGCCCTGGGGCACACTGACAGAAGCGAGGCAACCAGTCTGTGCCACTAGACAAATTCTAAGCAACATGGGTGAAGTGTCTTGCCAAACTGTCTCTCAACAATCTCAACATAGGCCTCCTCAAGGTTCCTCACAATTTACCCGCGGTTTTTCTTCTTGTTTTTTGGTTGCTACTTGCCAATGCAGATGATACAGAACATTTAAAAACATTTATGGACAGTGGTCATCCCGCTATGAACCAATCGTATATGTTATCATTGCATTTCTTGTGTTCAAACGGTTTGATTCTCTGATCTGTTGTTGGTGAATGTACAACTTTGTCAAATCTGCTGAGACGAATCATGTGCACTCTTGATTCAAATAGGTTAACACTCATAATTTGTGTGACTAAAATTGAAAGAAAATCTATATTCAACTATAAAACTCCATGTTCCTTCATCAGATTCCTCTCAACAGTCCACATTGCACCTGTAGCACTTTGAGAGTCGTTAAACATCCAGCCACAGCACTTTTTATGATCGAATTATTTCTGAAAATCTCAAGTAGGATCCACCTCCTTCTAGCAAAGCAAACATGCAGTTTCGGACGTGTGATTACGGCGTATGTCAGCAGGTGCAGTTGTAACCCGCTGTTATTTGTGATGTCACGTATCCAAAGTGCACAGTCACAAGTATTCCGGACGGCAACGAGAAAAACGGCATTCATTCAGGCGCGTGGCATCGTCTGCACGCAAAACTATTCCGCACCTGGAGCTGTCGGAGAGAGAGTTGCTGAACTCGGGAGCAGCAGAGAATGTGACAGAGGAGAAAGAACTCGAAAAATGTACTTGTTATGTCACGTAGCGTATGGTTTTCAGTACTTTCACCTCAACAGCTCCGGGTGGAAGGTGGAAGTTCGTAACACGGTAATGACAGGGTGCACAGGACCGCTGTTTTGGACAAGGTGAAAATGATATAGTGCGGTGGCTGTCGTCTCGGAGCCGGCTCCTAAATGATTAGTGTGAGTTCTGAGAGGTTTGTGTAGCGGTATTTGTGACGCTAGAGCAAAACTGGGAAGGAATGAAAGGTTATTGTTTTCGGGCGAAGGCTGAAATGTAAACAAAGATATACTAATTATACTAAGTGCATCTGTGACATGATAGTGCCATATGAATCAATTAGGACTCTGAGGAGCACAGGTACAGGGCTCCTGTTGGGACTCTGAGGAGCACAGGTACAGGGCTCCTGTTGGGACTCTGAGGAGCACAGGGACTGGTCTCCTGCTGGGACTCTGAGGAGCACAGGGACTCGCCTCCTGCTGGGACTCTGAGGAGCACAGGGACTGTTCTCCTGCTGGGACCCTGAGGAGCACAGGGACAAGCCTTCTGCTGGGACTCTGAGGAGCACAGGGACTGGCCTCCGGCTGGTGCCCGAGAGTTATGCAGCTTAAATATGGAACAGTCTTCCTGAAAATGTGAGACAGACATCTTCTCTATAAAGAACCAGGTTAAAATAGTTCTGTCTTGCTGTGTATAAAACTGAAGGATTAAATATTTTTAATGCACTGTGATTATTTATGATTTGAATGAATTGTTTTGTCAGGAAACCGTCACCGTTGCCTTGAGAATCCACTGTGCTACACAATTAAACTTGCCTTGCCTAATAATTCATTTTACCTGTCAGTGCCTGCCTGACACTCAAGGATTCTTCAATGGGATATAAAAGATACACCATGAAAACATACATTTGAACACGGGGAGGGTATCTGTGTTTCATAGGTACGAGTGAGGGAAAGTTTGGACACCCCTGGACTGTTGGTTGGAGTGGAACTGAGGTTTGGGGAAAAAGCAGACGATGATGAAGATGATGAAGATGTGGACAGGCTGTGACTCATTCAGGCCAAAATGAAACAATGAAAAGACCCTGCCGTTCAATTAGTCTCAAATAAAGCCCTGCGTCAACAGTTTGAGACGCTCATTAAGCCGTGTAAAAAAAACACGAAAGAAGAAGAGGATTCGCTGGCATCAGGTTTATTATGATTTAATTCAGGGGAAAAACCGGCTGCCAGGGTTGAGATTTGTTTACATGTTCAAAATAATAATAATGATAACTGAACAACCCAGTGACAGAAGGTTCAAGGTAAAATGACCCAGTTTCTCTCACCACATTCAACAATAAATCAAAAATACTAAATTGAATTAAAATTTTGCAGCATGGGACTCATTAAGTCTCATCCCGGGCAGACGGAAATATTCACATGTTGTTCCTGTGTTGCAATTTTCCGTCAAATGTTATTTATAAAGCGCTTTTCATAAACTACAAAATGGACCCTAAATTTGGTTAGGGTTACGGTTTTCTTTAATATTTTAATGTTTCCTTTCACTTTTGAGTTTTCTTGTATGCAGATGAACTGTACCATACAAATAAACTTGCCTCGTCGTGCATTGCCAACAGCAGTGTTTTTCAACCAGTCAGATGTTGTTTGGTGTGTCTTTGGAAATGATCCAGTCTCACCTGATTGGTCAGAATAATGTGAAAAGGAAATAATGTGAGAAGATTAGAAAAACCTGTTTGCACTTGTTTGATTTTCTGTATAAAACACTTTGATGAGTACGACTTTTTTTCTTCCAATCATTTTCAGCTGGTGGTGTGACTTTGGAGAAGTTACTTTGGTTAAGTGTAGGGTTGGGCAATCTTTCTGATTTTAAAGAGTTTTTTTGGCATAAAACACAGCACTGACGCACACACACAGACAGACAAAGAGACACACACACACACAATCACACGCACGCACGGCCACACACACATACAGATGCACGCATAGACAGACAAAAAGACACACACGCGGCCACACACACACACACACAGACACACAAACACACGGCCACACACACAGACACACAGACACACACACACACACAGATGCACACATAGACAGACAGAAAGACACGCACACACACACGGTGTCTGTACAAGCGGTGGTCAGCGCTTGTGCTTTCGATTTCAGTTCAATTCCACTTCCATGACCTTTCTGTGTGGAGTTTGCATGTTCTCCTTGTGTCTGTGTAGGTTTCCTACGGGTGCTCCGGTTTTCCCTACTCCTAAAAATCATGTACAATAGGTCTGAGAGGACAAATTCCCACAACAAATGTAAAGTGCTTTGTGACTTTGGTCTGTAAAATGTGCTATATACATAAAGATTACACACACCCACACACACACACACACACACACACACACACACAATGATAACTGTAATGATTTGAGAATAGGAACATCTTAGAGATACTACATCTTAGAGCTAAACCCCGACAAATACAAATACATTGATGAGCGATTCTGAAATGTCTGAATCCAGAACGACGGACAGCTGAAATTGACGAGATCTTTACAAAACCGTTTGAAATTGACCTGAATCGACACTCCTCAAGACCCATCCTGGCGCTCTCCCACTGTCACCACATACATTTCACATGAGCTTTAAATTGCACAAAGCCGCAGCCAAAACCAATGTCACAGTCAAAGTCAGCCAGAAGGCACAGGCACACTTCTCCCATTACCGCCCCCTCCCTCGAGTCTCACCCTTTTTTTTGCTTACAGCTACACCAGAACAGCCTCGGTCTCTGCAGTCAGTCACACTGCTAGAATCGCACCCACAACCCCCCCCCCCCCAACACACACACACACACACACACACACACACACTCACAAACCCCTGCTGTGCCTCCCTGCAGCAACTCTACTCATTACCCCAGCATCAGCACCACGTCTGGGCCTGTCTACAGTGAAGTGCCTGTGCGCCCCGACTGCATCGATCTCAGCCTGTTCCCAAACCTCTCCGGTGCAGATTTATAACCGACATTAAAGGGAGAGAGCTCTAAACACGGCTCCGTACAGTTTGGTAAATGATGTCCGCATGTAGAAGGCGTGTGACCTGTTTTTTTGTTTTTTTTAAAAGTCCTTTTCCCAGCGTGTTGTGTGTGACTTTGATGGCACCTTGTCTGTTTGCCCCACCAGCGGGGGGCAGTAATGAGCACAGTCACCTTGAGTTGCAGTCATTGAGAGAGAGACCGAAAAGAAACGCCCAAAATAAAAAAGTCCTGGTTTATTGTTTCAAATGCACTTGTGTTTAGCTGACATCAAACAAGTGCAGTGCTCAGACTGTAGTGAGAAAATGAATTTGAACAAAACCAAAGCTGGTCCATTTCCAGTGTGTGTGGAACGTGAAGCAATAATGGCTTGACTTTGAGTGTTCAGAACCAGAATGTAATATTTTCATTTTAAATTACATCTATCTTTCATGTGTCCCCAGATAACATACTGTATGTCATATGCCCAGGTTATATGTGACTCTTTCTGAAGAACGCTTTGAAGTGGAGTTAGTCTTCATTAAAATCACAATGGAGAAGATGTCCATAATATCCATGTTTATGATTTTCAAGCAGATTATACAATCAAAGGGTTGCCAGTTTTTTCAGATGAAATGTAGCTAGTGTTGGCTCTTAACAGCCCCTTTAAAAAGCAAATAATACACAAGATTTCTTTCCAGGTTCTTGAGAAACTCTAGAATGTTCAGTAAAAGACCAAATTGCGCTCTTTTCTAGATTGTAGATGCTTTATTAGAAAAGTGATCTTGAGACGCTTTAGCAGGATGAAGGAAACAGCTTCACCGGTATTATAAGTGAGAAATTACATTCTGCTATTGTACCCATAACATGTAATTGAAGATATAGAGTTGTAAATATGTTCTTTTGTCTGGAGAAAAACAGAAAAGCATAATAAATACCAAGTACATAAGGCTCTGTGTGTAGCGTCAAAGTCTGAGGAGTCATCATCGTCATAATCGCAAAGCAATTCTCCAATCTGTGACAATCAGCACATCTGACCCTCACACTTAGCGTCTGTTCCGCTGGATTTAAAAAAACACAATTTTCCAGGTCTTCTCCGGTCACACGTCGAAGCCAAAGATTAAAATGCAGTCTTTTTTCATGGCACAGATGGAGAACCGTTATCAAGGGCACATTTCTGCACGATTCTATCCCGGGATGTGTCGTTTGTGGAGACACACAAAACGTTATGGGCTTGTTTTGCCGCCATGATGTAGGTCAGCGGGCACAGGACGTTCACAGCGTGTCACCCAAACGATGTGGAAAAATTTTAGCCGCCTCCAAGATTAAGGAAAGTGATATTTTTAGAATGGTAAACTGAAATGATCGGAGGAGGAGGTGAAAACAGATGGCGGATAAGGAAGGAATTAAAAGCAATGAATGAGATTGGCGTAGGGGTTGACACCACAGCTCCCAGCCAACAAAAATAAATCTAAAGTCACACTATTGCAGATTAAAGTAATGCTCAGCTCGGTTTGAGAAGAAGAGGAGAGTTTACTGCGATGGCAACAGAAGTGATCTAGATTACAAAAATAGTAGGTGTGTCAGATTCTAGTGACGCAGGTTGCCTTTAGCATTATGGAGGATCGCTAGACCGTCCCGCAGAACGCAACCTTCATTCTTACAAAGGAAGAATTGAACTGGGTCTTAAAGGTTTTCCATACTGATGCAGGAAGGTCTGTTAGAAAGAAAGGGTCTAAGAAAAAGGACAGTGGTGATAATCCAGGACACTCGACATTCAACAACATTTATGGACATTGGTTATCCGCCACTTATGGACCCTTATGTGTTATATATTTAGTTTTTTGTGTTTGAACTGTTTGATTCTCTGATCTGTGTTGGCGAATTTAAAGTCCTACAAGATTACTATTGTTGTGATTTAGAGCATTACAATAAAAACATGAATCGAAAATACTATTCAATGGATTGGATTTGTTTTTGTTTCTAGATTCTGAGCTTGTAAAGTAAAAGAGCTGCAGTTTATCCACATCGCTCGCTACAGTTCACGTCCTGACTAAGAACCAGGGAGTACAAGTCTCAAGTCTGACCTTTCCAGAGGTTTGATAAGAGAGTATTGGTCATCAAACTGCATCATGAAGTCAAACAAGTCCAATGTTAGGTTAAACAAACACTTTGCATGCGTCAAAAATCTTACAGAGAACGGTTTCATCCAATCAAGCCCCACATTTCAGGTTTTTTAATATGTATGTACAAAAAATGTATAATTTCAAGTAGCCGCAGTCGTCTCAGATAACTTTACAAAGTCGCTGATTCACCAAAAACAGTTTTAACACAGGAAATACAATAAGAATAAACATATAGGAGCCATTGGTCCATAGAGAGGGGGATGATCAATGTCCAGATAGGTCAATAACTGTGCATTAATGTCCGATCATCACTGTCCTTAGACCCTCCGGCATCATCAAGGAACGACTAAAATTAAAAAGTGGGGAAAAAGTGAGAAACCCAAACTGAGGGATCCGCTCTCATGAACAGACAGGCTTTATCTTCACCTCTGTTTTTTGTGGTCGATCGGGAAATAACCCACAATGGTTATGTACATGGTCCTAAACATGACAAGATGTGCAACAATCCAAGTTGCATTGGCCTTTTGCAACCTACTATGTAAACATTGAGTAGTTGAAAGAGTTGTATCTCTTAAGTCTATCTGTTCCACACTCATTTCATCGTCCTGTTTGAATGTAAAAATGCATTCTCCATAAAACTGTTATGAATGACTTTGCTTGAGCAGGCCCAGGATATTATTTTGTCTGAGTGTTGCGCTGCCAGCCTGGACTTGTCGATGGGAACACCCCTGGCTTTAGTCTAAGCCTCATTAGGACAGGACTGTGGTGAGTCAGGAGTTTCTGTGAGGAGTCCCAGGTCGACTTATGTTAGTGAGGTTCTCTGGCTGGATACAGCAGGAGAACCAAGACTCACTGAGCCGAGAGTAGTTACAGATAATAAGGACGGGCCAAACACACAAATACACGCATACAAATACACAAACACACACAAACACTGTAACAAGTGGAAGAGGATCCCGGCTGCAGCCCCTCACAATGGACCATCACAGAGCAACATTTAAATCAATTTCATTTTGTAACAACAGCAATTTTTTGATTAGCCAACAACACTTGGCTATCAAACAATTAGAACACAAGGCTGTAGATCCAAAACTGAAGCTGTACATTCATGACTGGGGTTATAGATCCAGGACTGAGGCTGTAGATCCAGGACTGAGACTGTAGATCCAGGACATCAAGTCTGTGAGAGCCATAGAGCCATTAAATAATTGCAATCTCAAGGTTGTAGCTTGTTACTATTAAAACCAATCTGTGGCAGTAACAGTGATGAAGATGAGTTTTTACTAGGGTTGGGCGATATGGGCCTCAGCATGTATCACGATTTTTGTTGGTATGTATCACGATATGACGATATGATAATTTTAACAAAGCCTCATATAAAAGCTATGAAAACTTAGCACTGATAATTTTAAACACACTTGCCTCAAAGTGCATTTACTGATTTATTGGCAGCAAAATGTGTAATACAGCTATTGTATATAAAACGTATTAACAAAACTGAATTGTAGAGAATTCTGTTTTGTACATACTGAAAATTGCAGGCAACATGTAATAAAGGTGAACATTTGTAATTTGTTAAATATATAAAAGTTTGTCCTTTGTAATATAAAAAGTGTAGCATTATCAAATAATTATTTGATCACTTTGGCTTATGTTTCCTAATCCCAATATAGTCAAAATGATCAAATACTGTATATATTTTTTGTATCCTTTTGCGTTTCTATAATTATGTAATTATAACTTATTTGTAATTATATTGCAATGTAGACAAACACATGCATTGAAGTAAAATACATGACAGTAAACAGTAAATAAAGCTTACCAATGGCACTATGAGAGAGAGAGTCCGAAGCAAGCCACTCGAGTCCAGTTGTTTAGGGCAGCTGCTTTCACAACATTAGATCCACTGTCGATAGTTACACACAATTGCTTCTTTTTATCTAGTTCCCAAACTACTCCCATATGTTTGAGGTAGCTCCGCGTTTTGGCACAATGTCTTCTACAATCTGCATGTCTTCACCATGGTCTTCACCGCCGCCCTCAGCCATGTTTGCTCTCTGCTCTGTTGTTGTTGTCCTTGCACGCCGCTCTGCTACACGTGCCGCGCAGATGCGTCATTAAAGTGCGCTGCACACAAACGTGTCTTCCGCTCGCTGTTTTCAGTGTTAAATGATCGTTTTCACCGGTTCAAGGCATTTTCTTATCATTTAATTTACTTATACCGGTATACCGGTACAAAAAAAATATCGCCCAACCCTAGTTTTTACCCCCTCGCTCATATGTCCTCACCTTTCACTGGGATTGGCTTCAATAATATTCACACTTTAATACTGTTTTTAAGTGTTTAAAAACCGAATCATGAATCGAGATTGGTGAGACGGAAAAAAACACCATGATTAACTCTTTCCCTGATCGGTCAGCCCTCGGCCACACCAGACCACACACTGTGCAGCTAAATAAAAGGTGCCCACGCTCCACTAACACGCTGCTCTCACAACAGGGCAGATCTGTGGCTGCAGGGGCTGATGGGAAAAAACAATCCACTATTTCCACAGCTGCTGGGGGCAACAACAGAGGAGGTCACCACACACTGACATGACGAGGCATAGAAACGTCATCACATGCTGTATCATCAAAGTGTAAAGGGTTATTTCACAAAAAACGCCTATATTTTGTTTTAACTATGCATCATACTATACAAACATATATTTAATATGCATTTAAGGATGTTAGTGGACAGTAAAAAGTGAATGGATTACCTTCGATGAACCTCAAACAAATTCCAACTCGAAAACTGAAAAGACCAACGGCTGCCAGGATCTAACACTCTAACAAGATACAACATTGTTTCTCGACAAAAACAGACCTGGACTAGTGTTTTCCTGTAGTCCAGACTAAAATGAGGAACCTCTGGCATAGCCTTTCCCCCCTGCGTCATCTGTCTATATAATCCTTTTTCAAACTTGTTAAAAATATGACAAATCCTATGACATCATGCACAAAGTCATTTCCTCTTTAAAACAATAGCACAATATATTCATGAGACGCCTGCATGTCACTGTCTATGGTTCCATGGCTTCTAATTGTTTTAAACCTAAATACAGCATTGAATAAAATTGGCAGACATTTTCAGATTAGATTGGACAGTCATTGTGGATTCTCGTTAGCCAAACCTATCAGCAGAACGGCTTTAAAGTCTATTCTCTGAGCCACAGGAAGCCAGTGCAGAGACCTGAGAACCGGATTAATGTGATACGTTTACTTCCTGGTTCTAGTCAGGACTTGAGCTGCAGCGTTTGGAATATACTACACTGACAGAAGCGAGGCAACCAGTATGTGCCTGCTCCCCTCTGACCACCACCAACCATTCACACACACACTCCAGTCTCATTCTAAAGTGAGTGAAGTTTGGCACTTTACAGCCGCCCCACTGTGGCACCTGGTGTTCCCAGAGGTCTCCCATCACAGTAAAAACCAAGCCCTGCCCTCCTTAGCATCATAGGTCTGACGGGATCCGGCTTTCACGAGCAAATGTGGCTACATCAGGAGCCAATCAGCAGCTTCCCAAACACACTCTACATTGCTTCTCAGTGTTAACACTAAACTGTTTCCTCTGCAGGGACCACAGAGAGAGGGAAACACACCATCCAGACCAAACATGCAGCATAATGGACACTTCCACTCAATAAAACACAAAGCCACAATGAGCGAAACGTTTTACACACGACCAAAACACGGCTCTCAAGGCCACAGAGCTAGAGCTGTGTGCAGTGCACAGGAGGCCGGAGGATCTGAGCCATGCAAAGCTGACTTTGCACTCGATAGGCAATGATAGGCCTGCCACGATAATTACTGTATGGATTTATAGTTCCATATCTAGTGTGTGGAACAACATTTTTTGCGGCCTTTTTTGGCTACATGAAAAATATGTCACTTTTCTTTGCTATTGCGAAAACATTCGTTCGATTTGTAATACGGTATGATTAAATCTCTTTAATGGTTTCTCGGCACTTTCACCATCAAGCTGCATCTCAACCAATTTCCAAAGGCCTACAAAAAAAAAAAAAAAACTCAAGGGTTAAAACAAACACATAAAAGTTAATTGTGTTATTAGTGCTCTTACATGATAGAAAACCAAGAAAGAAACATTACATTGCTCATTGCTTTCTTCAAGGAGTGAATATTTAAGGGTTAAAGGCGAATCGACTGCAGCTGTATTACACAGTGTATGCATGGCTTTTGACAGCTGCAGCAGCGCTCAGACCAGTGGGGGCAGGTCCCAGCTCAAAAGTGGCCAAAATGACGTGCACTGACATGTTTGCAATACCACCCCGGGCCGATGGGGGTGGAACCAGAAGAATTAGCCAATGCTAACATAAAGCATTGGCAGACCTCTCGAAAACGTCTTTACAGGATGGACCAAAAGTTGGCTCTTGGCCCAAAGCTCCGTTCCACATGTGTGTCAATGCTGAGGGGGGTGAATTTTTTCTGTCCACTCTAGTTTACTCGCTGTGAATTTTTGAAGTCTCTCGTTCAAATGAATGGAGCTGCGCCGGCTGACGCATGCGCAGATGCGTTTTTTCACAATTTTCTTGTGGACAGGACCACTTGCGGCCATTTTGAATAGCTCCAGTAGAGCACTATTTTTTGGCCCATTAGTTAGAACGGCGGAGACAGGCGTGACTCTGTCCGTTAATATATACAGTCTATGGCTCAGACCAACAAAGATAAGGTTTGAAATCTCTGCGATCGCACTTCAGCAGTTGCAAGTTCAGGTGGTTAGAGAAGTGTAGGAAATGTGTGTTGAGGGGTTTTACAGCTTTAAAACATAGAGCTACTACTTTTTCTTTTGCAGCAACCTAAACCCAGCGATATTCCTGGGACCACGGTAATCATTTAGTTGCGATGGATGTATTCACTTGTTGCAACCCGACTTTCAATGCACTTGGCAATTTCTTTAAATATATATACTTTATTTTTTAGTTTTTGCTGTCATAACTCAAAAACATAAAAAGGCAACAATGATAATGCAAAGGAAAATGAAAAAATATATCAAAATCATTTCAAATCATTCCTAAATTGGATTAATATTTTTCCAAAGGTGTATTCCGGCACTCCCAGTGTATCAGGCCGGATGGATGAGCTGGGCCTGGGTGCAGCTGAATACTGACAGCTGAGATGAGCGCCCCCACCCAGGTCAGGGCGGTACTACCTATAACCATACAAGGTGTGGGTGACTCCAGGACTGGGAGGAACTGCTGCTGATACAAGCTGGATTCAGACCAACATCCACAGCGTCCACTCTCAGGTCACGCACTGGTCTGACGTCAGTGCGGAGAGGCCACTTGGCTCATATTTAGTTCTAGAAGTTAGGATACAGCAACACATCATAAAGCTACAGTATATCAACAAATCGAGCTGCATACTTTTGGTTATGTATCTAATCCTTCATATTTAATCCTAAAAGGTGATAATAGAAATGGAGAGAATTTCACAATATAGTTTAACAATATAGTTCTAGTTTAGTTAGTGCATGGTAAACGGTAATTCATTTGTGTATAGCCCTAGATCACAACAGTCGCCTCGGTTTGCCAACAGCAGATTAGAGAGTCAAACAGTTTGAACACAAGCAATAATAACAAACATGTAGGAGCCATTGGTCCACATCAGGACGACCGCCGTCCAGAAACGTCCTTAAATGTGTCGGATCATCCCTGTCACTCCTCTGCTCCTCTATCCCCCCTGACCACCCAGCCCTCTGTCCCAACCCTCCCTTATGTTTCTACAGGACTGTCCAGGTCCTGCATCTAAGGACCTCAGGGCAGCTACGGCTACAGTTGCAGTTTATCACTACTGTGTAAAATGTACAAAAAACTGATGAAAAATAAGTCCAAAATTGCTAAAATATGGCTAAATGTTTCTTAATTTGAGCATATTTTGACTGCTCAAAACAAGATTTTCCAACGGGACAAGCAAAATTCAGTTTGTGACTAAATGGCTTTGTCCCATTGGCAAATCATGTTTTAACACAGTCAGAATGAACTCAAATTAAGATGAAAACCACTCGTTTCAAGCAATAATTACCTCATATTTGATCATTGTTAGGAGTGTGCTGGCTTTCTACAAACTAAAAGCGGATATTTTCTTGACTTGCTTGTTTGCGGAGGACTTAATATAATAATAATAACTACCACCTCTGCCATTAGCTAATTACAACAACTAACTATATTCAGATCGTGACCCCTGATACAGCACATGTAGCCGCCCATCCCATGAATGAAGCCCACGAGGGAGCCACGTTGAGGGCTCCCAGCAGCTGAGTCAGCCCGAGACTGAGTCAGCCCGAGACTGGACCAACGCAGCTTCTAATTAAGCTCCATATTGGAACGTGGATGTGGGCAGAGAGCATGAAGACACTAAACACTGAGGCTCTGTTATGAAAGCCAGGTGTGCCGTACAGTAATGAAGGTCGCGTTTCCTTTGTACTGGCCCCCTCCCAGTGCCCCAGTCCAACCCAGTCCAACCCCCACAAGTCCCTCTGGTCCCTCCCACCCAGCACTTCCTCTTCGCACATGCCAGCTCACTCTTGACACATGGGTGCAGTATGGATGGTAAATTCAGTTGTATGTATTTCAATTTTGTATGTATCTATCCACTTTTAATTCAATTCAATTAACTTTATTCTTGTATAGCCCTAAATCTCGGAGGACATACCAAACCATTGAATTCGCCAACACAGATCAGACAACCAAACAGTTTAGACACAAGAAATGCAATGATAAAAAACACATAGAGCCGTAAGCGAAAGAGGACCAATGTTCAAACGTGTTGATGATTTTACTGTTTTACGGCAACCTACAACACTCCTGCTAAAACCTGATAACATGCATATCTCCTTTTGGCTATTGTTTATTGTACAATATCCCTGTAGAATAAGAATAAAAAACCCACCATATCATACAATACCATACCATCAAAACTGAACTTAAAGCTGTGGTACCAAACTTAGAAAAAAAAAAATCCATCTCACTTGCTTCTTGCTCTCCAAACAGTTCTATGACTAGTTTTCACATGTATATATTGGTCTCTGTCACATCTTTAGGTCAGATTTTTCCATATAGAGAAGTGAAAAAGACTTAATTAGGACCCAAAAGTGTCATATAGTGAATCACAGGGTTATTAGTATGAAAATTAAATAAAAACAGAATGTTGTGGTCTGAGGTCTCTCCAGGAGCATCCTCTTTACAAACACCATCATTCTTTGGCAATGGAAAAAGTAAGTAAGTAAGTAATGTTTATTTATATAGCGCATTTTACAGATCAAGGTCACTCAAGCGCTTTACAATGTTCAGAGTTCAGATATTGTTCCAATCACTCCACACAAGGTGACGACGGAAGCGAGTCGCCGAACACACTGGACCATCAGCTCCCAATCAACACCATCCATTCACTCTCTCATTTACATTCATACCTATTGTGCATGTTTTTAGTGGTAGGGGAAACCGGAGCACCCGGAGGAAACCTACGCAGACACGGGGAGAACATGCAAACTCCACTCAGAAAGGCCCTGTTCCGGGATTCGAACCCAGGATCTTCTTGCTGAGAGGCGAGAGTGCACTGTGCCGCCTTATTTATTTGAAATGAATAAGGAAATGCAGCTTTTCATTCTCGATGTGGGCTTTTAAAAACTTTTCAACCAGTCAAAATTCAACAATATCAGCATGAATTAAAGCTGCGGTACCAAACTTTGAAAGAAAAAAATAAGTGCGTAAGAAATGTCTATACCCCTTACAATAGCTCTGTCACTTGTTTTCACTTGTGTGTATTTTTGGCCTGGTATCTTGGCCTAGATCAGCTTTAGGTCAAGGCAAGGCAAGTTTATTTGTGGAGCACAGTTTCATAGACAGGGCAAGAAAAGAAGGTATTGAAATCACATAAATATAAATCATAAATAATCACAGTACATTGAAAAGAGTGAAGTTACAATCCTTCAGTTGTATGCACAGCTAAACAGATCTGTTTTTAGCCTGGATTGTCACACTGAAAGGTAAAAAAGAGATTGACCTCTTCTCAGTATGTACAAAATACAACACTTTTTTCACATAGAATGAAGTCAGAATATACAGTGGTCTGATTTGTTCAAGACTCTTTCGGTTGGGACGAACAACAAGAATTTATGAAGCTAGGTGCTCCAGCTGTAAGTGCCACTTGAGCTGCTAGTCAAAGAACAATGAAACCAAATGAGTAACTTGGGTCCCTCTATCTCTCCACCATCACTTCAACATTTACTGCTATTACAACACCCTTTATCGTCGCAATCTGGCAACCCGCGCTCTCCAGCTCACCGGCCTAACATTTTTTTTCCATGACTAAGCAAAGTCCTCCTTGTTGCTGAGTAATATCAATGACTCCTGGAAGATTACTGTCGGCCGTCCGCAGAATTCTCCATTTAAGGCTTTTTTTAAGTAGCAGCCTCTCCATGTGTGCAGCAGGTATTGACTTTTACAAGCAGACATTACAGTGCCCCCTGATGAGAAAGTGGCAGGAAAAGATTCTACTGTGGCTCTAAAAGTCCCTGATGGGAGAGAACTGGCTGAATGTGAACTGGGGCTGAGGGGATATGGCCAAAACCTGATATTACAATAGGAGAAGGATGTACGGCCTGTCTGCACTGCACAAAATGATCAAATATGAGGTGATAAATGCTTGAATCGAGGGGCATAAAGGAGGATTTTTTGTTTCAAGATTCAAGATTCAAGATCAATTTATTATGTCCCATAGAAAATTTGTCTTGGACTCACAGGCTGCGACTTTGAAAATACACATAAGACAGACATAAACCACCACCGCTCTGCTCGAAGGCCTGCATTCAGGAGGTTTCCGGATGGATCATCAAGACTATTGGTCCTCCTAATTGTCAATCATTGTGGTGATATGTGGCGTAAGCCTGTCGTACGTGCTTGTCATACAAGACCAGAGTATTTTTTGGGAGATTCTTTCACCGGAAAAAGGGCGCCGTGGCAGGAGCTCTGGTGTGTGCCGTCCGTTGCACACTGGGGTAGTCTTGCACAGTTTTTCCAATGTGGTTTTACTGCAAATGGCAAATAAACTCTTGAATTGAAGGAGAACTGTGCTTGTGCATGTCTCTCGTACATGGTTTATTAGGCGTTTCGTCTCTGGAGCAAGTAGAGCATCTGCATTTTTTTTTTTAAGCGGAGAGGGCGGTTCTTTCTTCCTATATACCTTTAATCTGAGTATATTCTGACTGTCTTAACCCTTGTATTATGTTAAGGGTCAATTTGACCCATTTCAGTTTTTGTGTTGATCAAAGTACTGGTTATCCTTTATTTTTCTTGCTGAAATTTTATGACTTTTCCTCATCTAGGGTCATGAACTGGTGTGTAAAATCTGGACACTTTGATGTGTAGTGGAATGTCTGTGCAGAGTTTGTATACAAAGATGATGTTGCGGGTCATTTTGACCCTGACGCTTTAATGTGGGTAAATAGTTGTTCGGATCCGAAAAAACATGTCTCTTTGACATTGTATTTTGATTGCCTCTGAGACCCAGAGCCAGGTGTGTGAAGAGAGGGAACGTTCTCACACTTGTCCTTGTCACTGTTCTCATGTCATCTCTTTTGCCTAGCGTACATCGGACTGGCAACTGAATATATCCGTCGCCTTTGAGTTGCTGCCCCGCACACATCGACAATCTGGCGAAAACGGGCAACTCCTGTATCAGACCAGTCTCGGGAATAACAGCGCGTACATCGACAGCAACTGGCCTCAACTACAGTGTGTTTTCTGACATAAACTGTAGAGGGCGCAATACACGCAATACACACATGTTGTTGGAGCGCGCACATCGGGTGATATCTCCGGATCTGAGTAAAACTAGTTGCCGAAAAGTAGAACACGGGCAAATGACTGAATCCGGAGATTGACTGTTTATCTCCAGTTGTAAGAGCGCTCACATCTGATAACAACTGATCATCTCCATCATCTACTCTCTGTTTCCAAAAGCCGCCTTCAACTAATTGTCTCCAGTTACTCTGTCGATGTGCGCTAGGCTTTAGACAAACTCACCAAAAATGAGCTCCAGAAGGATGACATCTGAGGAGGCTTTATCACAGATTTTTAACTGGGATAATGATGTAGAGGAAGAGATTTCAGAAACAGAGGATTTTTCAGATACAGGACAATGTTATTGCTGATCCAGATTGTCAATTTTCCTACAATAAGGAGGATTCAGAGGATGAATCTTTGGTCAAATAAAGAGAAAGGGAGGAAGGAAGGAAGGTAGGAAGGAAAGAAGGGAGAAAGGAAGGAAGGAAGGAAGAGAAAAGAAGGGAATAGAGGAGGATGAACAGAGAGAAGGAAAACAGGATGAGAAAAAGGAAGGAGAAAGCATGGCAGGAGGAAAGAAGGAGGGAAGAATTGTCATTTAGACCCGAGAGGAGGACAAGAGGATTAGACTAAATATTTCTTAAATATAGCGTTGGAATTAAAAATGTATTGTATGTCACTTTTCTAAATATTTATTTAAAGTTGTTATTGGTTTAACCTGTTTTCTTGACTGTTTTGAGTGCATTTACACAGTACGGGTCAAAATGACCCGCAACATAATCAATGTCATTTTTTTTCAACATAATACAAGGGTTAAAACAAGATTCTCCAGTGGGACAAAGCCATTTAGTCTGATTTCAAGAACTGTTGCTTTCTTTTCTCATTCCAATGAAGACCAAGATAATTAGGATATATTTTGCCAAATTTGAGCAAATTTAGATTTTTTTGCAGTGTGTCTGTGGGCCTCACTTTTTTGTTTGTGCATTCCTTGCTGATGCTGGAGGGCATTGATCCTTCCCATGTGTTTGTTATCATTGGCTTTCCTGTGTTCGAACTATTTGATTCTCTGATCTGTTGTTGTTGAATCGACAACAGTGTACACAATAACCACATAATTTACAATAGATACAAGAAAAAGTTATGAAGACCAACCCTGTACATGAGCGGAGTCGTCACATATCCAGAACATACACTCGTCAAATTGACTGCTCTGGGACTCCTAGTGTTAAATGATCATCAAACATTTCTGCGGTTGGAATATCTCGCTGGTCACGTTTGCCGCCTTCTCTCACGCAGCACAAAAACAGCGCACATGCTTGAGTGGAGACAAGAGAGCGCCTAACCCATTCCGACTCGCCGCACAAGCCCAATGGCGAGGACATATTCTCCGTACGCACGCAAGACTCGGAAAAACACCAGGCCGACTCCTCACCGTCCGCTTCACGTCAGCAAAAGCTTTCGGCTGCAAGCGGCTTTGAAACCACAGCACACAGGCTATTTCTGCGCCTAAGTGGCAGTGCCGGACCCACGGTGGTCATTATCTGCCACTGCATGTTTTGTGTGATTTTTGTTGTTTTTTTTTGGGTGCTGATTTGAGTAAGTACGGTGGAGGAAATAGCAGGGAGGACTGTGACGGAGACCCCAGGTGCCCCGTGAAGCAGAGGAAGTTCTGGCTGTAATTACCACGCTGACTGAGCTCGCTAATCGGACTGACTCTATTAGAACTATC